GAACCTCGGGGGCTGGGCGGGGGGCTCCGCTCCGAGGAGGACACCTGAGGGACTTGGAACTCCTGAGGTGGGTGGAAGGAGGGGGCTTGACCCGGGGCGGCCCGGCCTTCCGCCCCCGGTCAGGCCTGGCCGCCGCCCCGGCCATGGAGGGTCCCCCGAGATGTGCCCGCCTCCACCCCGGGATCTGTCCCCGGCCGCGGACGGACCCCTGCGATCTGTCCGCCGCCCCCCCCCGGACCTGTCCCTGGCCGTGGAGGGACCCCCGGGAGCATCACCGTGGGCTGACATTCGGCTGCAGGGTGGCCGTTCCCACTGCTATTGGCTCGTTAACGTCTACTGCTCTTCGGTTTTATCCCTTTTCCTGCGAAAAGTAGGTCGGGTTAAGAAATAGCAGCATCTGGGGGTAGGTGGGGAGAGGAGGTTTTTTCTTTGTTGGAATTCTTCAGATGAAACGAGATTTGCAATTCAGTTTTGAAGGCTCATTGTCAGTTCCTGATGCTGTCTCGAGTGCAGCACTGCTCGGTGCATGCCTTGGACCCTCCTTCCAATTGGACAGGGCTCTTCTGTTCTGGATTTTTGTGCTGTAAATAGTGTGAGTTTGTTTGGTTTGTGTTGCCAAAGGTGAAACTAAACTATTTGTGTTAAGATGGGCTTTTGTCAAGGTGCAGATCATGTATTTTTCACTTCTTTGGGGAGATATCTCAGCTGCTCTGGAGAGCCATGGGAGAGCCAGTCCATCAGAGAGCTCTCCCAGCTGCCCAAACCTGTGCCTTGAGCTGCAGTGATCCTTCAGTGCCTGTTTGCTCAAGGGAAATGCTTTATTTAGGCTGTATTAGTGTTTTGTCAGGCTCAGGCCAACATGCTCTGCCCCAGTAGTGTACACAGCACTTGTGCAGTCTTTCCATGCTATATATAGACACCCCCTCCCTCCCTTTGAGGACTGACAATCCTACACCTTGGGCTCTCCAGGAATGAACTATGTGACAGGAGTTCATAGCTTGGATCCTTTTGGAGCTGCCCTCAGATCTGAGATTTACAGTGGGAGGACTTGGTTTCCTCTTGCCAGATGTCTGAGCTGACAGTTTCATCTCAGATATACTTTGTAAAGCCCAGCTCACTGTAGGAAGAGATATCTTCTGAATTAACAGCCTGCTGGGCAGATAAGACTTGTGTTGCAGATAAATCTGTTTGGGAAATGCTTTTTTCTCTGTGTCCCCTTCTGGTCTTTGTAATTGGGACAATATAATAGTGTTGGTCACTGCTAGACCCTTCAGAGCTTAGTTTGAGAGGTGCTACAAAAAAGCCCAAGAAGTTAAGGGAGAATAATGGGAATAAGGACATGAGCTGCCTAAGCCTGTGTGGCCTGATGGTTCCAGATCAGCTATCAGTGTTATTCCTTCTGAGCAGTTGTTTGTCCCAGCTCTTGCTCCAATCCTAATCATCCCCTTTGCTGATATCAGTATAGTGAAGTGATTTGTGGAAGTCTCGGGGCAAAAAAGCATGTGGGAGCTTAAAGGGGAAGGATTTATCCACTTCATGACCTAAAATGAGTGGTTGGTATGTGTGGGCATGGGAAACACAACAATTAGTCTGTGGCTCCATGAAGTCTTTAGTCCCTTCTGAGAGGCTGACTGGTGCCAGCCTGTTTCCCACAGCAGAAAAATATTTCCTAGTTCTCTTCCTTCTGCTGTGGCTTTTATTCCCCACGTGAAAGGATGGTTTTCTTAAAGCATTTTTGCTGTGGGGTGTGTTGGGAGTGTGCAGTGAGGGTTTGTTGGAGCTGAAGCTCTGCTGTTCTGATTTTTCCAGAAACATGCAACATGGCAGCAGCCATGGAAACTGAACAGCCGGGCCTGGAAATCTTTGAGACTGCAGGTCGTGAGGAGCAGGTCCCGAGAGAGGAGCAGCCAAAACTGGAACCTTTCTATGTAGAGAGGCATTCCTGGAGCCAGCTTCGGAAACTGCTCACAGATACACGGAAGTATCATGGATACATGATGGCAAAAGCCCCTCATGATTTCACATTTGTGAAGAAAAATGATCCCGAAGGACCACATTCCGATAGGATCTACTATCTGGGTGAGCTGGCTGTGACAGTGTCACTGCAGGGCTGTTTGGGATTGACTGTTCCTGACAGCTGGGTGTTCCTGGCAGTTAAATCAAAAGGGATTCCAGGCCACACTGGCTGGTCAAAAGTCATGATCGTGATCGTAATACCTCATTAAAACTTGTGAGGTAATCTCCCATGGGAGTGGCATGATTGGAGGTGACCCATTAGGCCTGGAAAAGAGCTGGGAAATCACCTTTGGGGCATGTTCCCAAAACACAAACCATATTAAGTCCCTTTTCTGTCACTCCAAGTAATACTCTCTCCAAAAGCTATGCAGGTTTATCTCCTTTCTCTTACAGCTGTTGGGTGGAACCTTTTCTCCTTCTAAGTTTCCTTCCAAAGCAGAGATTTTAAGTGTAATTTTGAAAGTCCTTTGTGCCTCAGCTACTGACAGAGCAGATTTTCCAGGATCCTGTGGGGAATAAATAGCAGCATAGGTCGGGGGCAGCTTAGAGAGTAAATACTTTTCTCAACGTTTTTGGTCTTAATTATAAAAAACTTCATGTAGTTTGTTGTTCTTGGATTCAGTGCATTGTTTCACTAATTAGTGTTCACTTGACAGAAGTGATTTGGCACCATAAGTCACTTTGAGCAACCCTCTGAATGGCTTTTTGGAACAGGCCTTGTGGTGGAGGAATGCTTTTCTCAGGAGCTGCAGTAGCTGAACATAAATCCATGAAAACCTGGATTAGGGAGAGAAGCAATGGCTGAAGCAGAGGCCTAGGAGCCAGAGCCATGTTCTAGCCCCACTGCTTGCCACTTAGGCTACTTGATTAAGCTCAGGTTTGTGATTCACAGAGTCTTTGCCTGTGCTGTGCAGTGACGTAGTCAGAAAACTGCTGCTCTTTTTCCCCTTTTCAGAAGATGGGAGTCATAATCTCTGTATGATGCTGAATTCAAGCACATCTCGGGCAGGTTGAGGCTGATTCCCCTGGGATGAGCTCTGGTTTCCCAAGTGTCACTTCCTGAGCTATAGATCGGGCTTGGCCTTCCCTTGGAGCATACCTGGCTCCTTCTGGGCTGATCCCCATGTGCCTGGGCAGGAGCCTCAGAAATCTGAATAGCACTGAGACAGAGGAGCAGGACAGGGATGTTCAAACCCCCCTAAAGGTCAGTTATCTTTGAAACACAGGCTGTATATCCCAGACAGAGGAACTGGCACAAAAGCCAGTTGATTATATACAGTTGATTATACAAGGATTGTATAAATCCTTGATTTATACAGCTTATGGAATTAAAGGGCAGTAGGAAGACACAGAGTGCTTTGAGCAGCATGGGGTAAGCCTGGCTCTCATTGTTCTCTGCTTTCTCTGTGACTTGCACTTCTGTGAAGCAGGGAATTCCCAGAGCGAGGCTGCAATGCAGAGACCATCAGTTCTTCCACTGGTAGGAGGGGCCTGGGAATCTGTTCCTGGGCATCCTTTGAGAATGTTTGGATTATTAACAGAAAGCTAATATACTTTTTTTTTTTAACCTCATTTTCACAATAGCAATGTCTGGGGAGAACAGGGAGAATACGCTCTTCTACTCTGAAATTCCCAAAACTATAAACAAAGCTGCCGTCCTGCTGCTTTCCTGGAAGCCTCTTCTGGATCTTTTTCCGGTGAGTCCTGATTTCTTACTTGCTTCAAGCACATGGGATTCGGGGTTTTCATCTTGAAAATTTGAAGTTTATTGTCTTAAAAATGTAAAGACTCTCCTTGTACGTGCCAGCCCTGCAGCCGTTCCAAAATGAAGCACAGCTTTCTCCTGTGTTTGGAGTTCCATCCTCTCTGTGTGCTGGATGATTCCTTTGCTGGCAGAGATGGCAAGTGCTAATTTGCATCAAGTTCTGTGTTGTGAGATCCTGGGGATTGCTGAAGGAGCCTGGAGTCTCCAGTCACTTCCCTGCTGTCTTGCAGGGGAAGTGATGATTCCCCCGAGGATCAGTCAGTGGCTCTGTGACTCATTCTGGAGCAGAGGATCCCTTTCCCACTCACTGGGATGTGGATTCCCTTTTCCCTGCGGCACATAGCAAGCCTGCACCATCCCATCCATGCACCATGGAAGGCTGGAGGAGGTGGGACAAACCCCACGTGGAATGAGGTGGATTTTTCCCTGTGTTATTTCCCAGGGCTGTCAGCCAGACGTAAAACTCTGGCTGTGCTCTCCTCCCACCAGACCAGTCACTGCACGTCTGTGAAAGTGAGCAAAGCCTCTCCTGCTCATTCTCAAAATAACAGACCCTCAATCTGAGCTTTCTTATACCAGGGACTATTGGGAATAATGCTGGCCTTGCTATGGGAGGAGTGGCTGTCAGTTTACAGTTGTGTGGGATCTGATCGTGGCCTGCACCTACGAGTGCTGATGGCAGAGGCAAAGCAGGAGTGGGCTTCCAGCCGGCAGCATTCTGGAGGATTCCGGAGGAGGAGGATGTCTGCTCAGCCATCTGCTCCTGGAAGCAGGGTAAGGCGTGCAGAGCAGAGGTGTTGATTTGGCTTCTCTGCCTGTTTTTAGGCCATCCTGGACTATGGGATGTACTCCCGGGAGGAGGAGTTGCTGCGGGAGAGGAAACGGATCGGCACCGTTGGGATTGCCTCTTATGATTACCACAGAGAGAGCGGCACCTTCCTGTTCCAGGCAGGGAGTGGGATTTATCATGTGAAAGATGGAGGCCCCCAGGGATTCACTGTGAGTTTACTCATCTTCTGTCTCTCTGCAGGACTTTGCTCTGGCAAGGACCTCCTTTGGCTTGGAGTGAGAGCAAAGAGCAGATCATCAGCAGTTACTGTGCTGGCACAGGAAGTGACCTTGATAACCCTGGAAACAGGGTTTCAAACTATAAGAAGTGGTAAAATTGTGGCAGCAATGCAGGACATCAGATTTGTTTGATTTTTCATGACTAGCAGTGTCCATAAAAAGCAACAAAAGGCTCTGTGCTCTTGCATGGAGTCAGATGTCACATCTGAGACAATTTTTGTCCCCAGGTTGCAGTTTCCAGGTCATTGTTCCATGGTCAGTGCTGGATGTGTTAGACCACTTTTACATCATTTGACCTTACAACTTTCAGAACAAGCAGCCTTCACTCTGCTGGTGCTGAAGTTGGCCTTCAAAGCTGAAATAATTTATTATTATTATTATAGATGCCTGGTGTTTGTCTGACCCTGTTGTCGGGGTAATATACTGTATTTTGAGTTGCTTTTGGACAGCCCCTTTTAGGGTGCTGTTTTTAAGAGTGTGTCAGACTTCTCTACACAAGCTGCCCTTTGATTTGGGGCTGATCCTCAGCTCTGGGGAAGAGGCCTGGTGGGACCATGGTAGAGGCACAGCTTTCCCTATAAAATAGCTGCATAGTATTTTCCTGTGTGTAAAGTGGGTAGATTCCTCTCTAAAAATGTATTTGAAGTCAGTGTTCATACTGCTGTGATCTTCTGAAATCCAGGTTACTTGGTGGATATGTTCCTGTGTTATCATATCTTACTGTGTTTCTTTTTTGTTTTTTAATTCCAAATAGCAACAGCCTTTAAGACCCATTCTGGTAGAGACCAGTTGTCCAAATATCCGGATGGATCCCAAGCTTTGTCCAGCTGATCCAAATTGGATTGCATTTATCCATTGCAATGACATCTGGATATCTAATATAGAATCCAGGGAAGAAAGGAGGCTGACATTTGTGCACAATGGTAATGCATCCTGAATTAAATTCCTCTACCTCCTCTGCACTTGTTCTTGCTAGACTGCACTGAGCAATGGCACTAAAGGTTCTCCTGAACCACTGCTTGGGGGTAATGACCACTGTTTATTCCACCTTGTTTGTCACATTTATAGACTTCCTGTAGTGCAGATACAGTGGGATGATTCTTTTTCCTGCACTGTGCAATCTGGCAGAAAGAGTTGTTTGTTGGATACATATGGAAGGGCTCTTCTCCTGAAACACAGCACATTGCTTTTCACTGGAACAGCCTTTTTTGAGTGGAACTGTGGGTGGAATAGAGCTGGAGGAAAGTTTCTGTCAGTGAAATCAGGCTGCAGAGACTTTTAGAAACAATTTAGGCAGTTTCTGAATAGCACTAGGGTTTCTGCTGTCCCCTCACACTCAGTAATGTAGGTTCTCATTTCTTACCCTCTTCAACTCCATTTTAGGCATTTATCCTGTAAGAAAGAACATGAGAAATTGTGGATAAATCAATGAAAATCAATTTCATTTTGTATTTAAAATATATAATTTAAATTTTAGTCAATTTAAATTTCTGACACTTCATAATACTGCTTCAGACTATTTAAATGCTTAATATTAAAATATTATGTAAGTACAGTAAAAATAAGCTGTAGCAATCACTCCTTCTCAGATGATAATTATTTATGGAGCGCTGCTAAGTTACCTCCAGGGTAACAGGAAAAATATTGAAGCCCTATGGATATGTCAGCATGTTGAGATGTTATATAAGTCTGTTCCTTTTGGTTCATACATTGAATGAAATACTGATTCTGCTTTCATTTTTCTGAATGTTGGTGTTTCCAGTTTCAGTTGTTCAGAAAGGTTTGAGGTTTTGATTTTCTTAGAAGTTGTAGTTCCAATTCACTGAACTCAGGTAGAGAGAACATTTTCTTTCTTTGACTAATTGAGAGCCTGATTAGGTAGAAGTAAGCAGAGAGAATGGCTTTCCTTTCCTAAAAGAAGCTGCCATGTCAGAGAGGATTAAATCCTCCCTAAATATATGAACAGAGAAGGCTGGAAGCAGAAAACAAATCTGCTGAGAAGTCAGATTTATTACCGTGTAATTGTTCCCTGGGGGTGAATTTGGGCTGTGTTTGGGGTAATGCAGAGCTGGTTTGGTTCTGCAGCACATCATGAACTAATTCTTTGGTGTCTTTTTTTAGAACTGGCCAATGTTGAGGAGGATCCAAAATCTGCTGGCGTGGCTACTTTTGTGCTGCAGGAGGAATTTGACAGATACACTGGCTACTGGTGGTGCCCAAAGGCACAGCCCAGTAAGTGTGGGGATCCAGCATGTCTGACAGGCCCTGTCCAGTGCAGAGCTCTCTCTTGCTCTTACTTATAGTATCTATAATCTTACTTATAATATCTATTAACTATGTGCAGCAGGGAGCAGGTTACAGGGGCCTTGTGAGCACTGTGGGGAGAGACTTCCCTTCTCACAACAGTGGTGGGAGCTGTAGGAGTCTCAGTGTTTTGCTTAATGAAACATGAATCACAGGCTGTGTTGTTGATTTTTCTTCATCCTTCCAGTCTGCTTGTGCTCCTGAGATAATATTGATGCCTGCAATAACTGATAATTCTGTTCTGTAATTCTGTAATGTTAATTCATTTACAGCACTGGATGGGGGTAAAGTTCTTCAAATTCTTTATGAGGAAAATGATGAGTCAGAGGTGGAAATTATCCATGTCACATCACCCATGCTGGAGACAAGAAGAACAGATTCCTTCCGGTACCCCAAAACTGGTGAGACCCTGAAACCTTACATTCCTGTTTCTGGAAGACACTTGTTTAATTCCATGTGCCTGACAGCAGTGACTCTCCAAGCTTAGAGCAGAGCAGAGAGGTGTTGAGTAGTCTTTGAATTGGTGTCCAGGTGGTGCAAATGTGTTTGGGGAAGCTGCTCTGGAGGCTGGGTGACTCAACTGGTGACTGTGCTGATATTGCAGCCATGTGGTTCCTGAGGGCTCTGGGTGTCAGGAGTTGGCAGGAACTCTCTCTCATTGTCACTGTTTGAGACACTCTCTGGGATCCTGGAAGACCTAAATTGTTGAGGAGTTGATTCTCATTACAGCCCTGTGTTTCTGAGGGAACAGCTCCAGAATTACAGCCTTTTGGGGTTTTGGGAGGATTTCTGTTTAGCTGCTGGCAGTGCCCTGGCAGTTCAAGTCCTGGAGGACTCTGATCTCCAGGATTGCTCTTGGACTTTAAACAGCAAACCTGTCCTGCTGCAGCCTGCCAGGAAAACCACCTGTGGTTACATTTGCACACAGTGGATGATCTGGAGGCTTCAGCAGTGAAGGGCTATGGGTAGGCTTCAAGTGGAGTGCCACTGGAAGCAGGGAAGTGGGATTTAAGCAGACCTGCTGAGGGCTGATTCAGTGTCAGGTGTGGGGCAAGTTTGAACAATTCAGCCCTTCTGAGATGTCCCTGCTGTCACAGCGGGACACATTGCTCAGGTAACAGTAGTTTGCTCTCTTTCCTCACTACTGGAGTCTTCATTTTTCAGAGAAATATCTTTGTTTGGCTGACCTTCTCAAGCTGTAGAATTCATTCAGATCTTGTAGATTCCCCATTTCACTGGGAAAGCTTTCTGCTCTTCCTGGTTTACTATTTGTGAGAAAGGCTCAGTGTGAGGCTGGGAAGCAAGAGGTGACACCTCGTGGTTTTTCTTGTGAGTGCTCAGATTTCTGAGTGTATTTTGTCATGGCTCTATTCAATGCAAAGAAAACAAGCTAACCAAAGCCCAAATCCCTTAAACAGTATGTAGCTTTATTATCATAATGACACTAGTGATGACAGTAGGTTTTTAGGTGTTTAATTTTCACGGATGCTCTTTAGCACTGGATCACTTTCTATGTACCACTTTGGAATAAGAGCCAAGCAGTGAACCAAAGCTTGCTTTGCTATCCCACTCACTCCTGAGCATTTACTTCCACCTGTGAATGCATCCACTGACTGTGGGAGAGAGGACAGCAGCATGGCTCTTGATCTGTTTGCAGGATTACATCCTCTAAATCTCCTCACATTTGCAGTTTCTTTTTTCCCTGCCTGGTTCTGTGCTCTCTCAGACATGCAGGGAGGCTATTTGATGAAAGAACATTCTGCTGTTTGCCTTTTCCAGTCCTGTATGATTAACACCGCAATAATGCACAGCAAACAATTGATGCCTGATTGTTAACATCTGTTTTTATAGGTACAGCAAATCCAAAGGTTACTTTCAAGATCTCTGAAGTGACAATCAATGCAGAAGGCAGAGTAAGTCTATGTTCTGTCTGTTTGCCAAATGCATTTAACTGCTGTGATTTATATATTTTTTTTGTAAAATTAATTTTCCAGTTCTGCACAAAGAAACTTTCCTGGTTGTGATGGCTTCCTGGCTTCTCTGGAGGCAGTGCCCTTGGCTCATTCCTGTGCAGATACTCAGTGTGCAGCAGTATTTCTCAAGGCTGTGCTTTTCTTTGCTCCCACTGGTGTGTGAACTCAGCTGCAGAGCAGAGTATTGTAGGTGTGGATGGTTAGACCTTCTTATGTGACCGATCTCTTGATTGGCTGTGGATGTTGGGAAAATTGGATTGCAAATACAGTGTATCACCTTACAAAAGCATGAACATATGGAAAGAGATAATCTTTGCTTTTGCCCTGGGATTTTTTTTAACAGATGCAGAAATTTCCGTAGCCCATTCCAGGATCTTTGGACAGAGGGGAAATTAATCTTATCAAACAGATATGTGAACAGCCGTAAATTATTGGAATTCTCCCAACTCTTGAGCTACTTCAGCCATCAGCAGTCACCTGCTGGGATAGTGATGCTGGTGTCAGCCAGGAAAGGCAGGGAAAGCCTTCAGGACCCTTTGGGTACCACTGGGATTTGTTCCCAGTCCCAGCAGGGACAGACTGCAGCGCTGCATTTCATGGATTAGAACCACATTGATAACTGGGTGCCATGCTGGATGTTCAACACCTATCCATGAAAATCCTACAAAAGAGCTCAGTACAAATCACCTCCCATTTACAGGGGGGAATTGAGAGTTCAAATGAGTTGTGTGAGATGAATGATGGGTTTGTGAGCAGCATCCAGATTTCTCTGGTCCCAGCCCTGGCTGTACTGGCAGTGTGCAGCTCTCCTGCCGTGCTGGGGTCTGGCTACAGACAGGGTTCAGTTCCCTGTGTAGCAAAGGCTGAACAATATAAATGGCATAAGCTGCACAGAAAAAGTCTTCTGTGTCCAGGCTCTCATCGTGCATGAAAAACTGGTTGTGGGGGTTCATCTCAGTGTCACTGAATTGCTGCTTTGTCAACAGATTGCAGATGTTGTGGATAAAGAGCTAGTTCAGCCCTTCGAGATCCTCTTTGAAGGAGTAGAGTACATTGCTAGAGCTGGGTGGACGCCAGAAGGAAAATAGTGCGTATGTTAATCCTGTCTCTGCTCAGAGGGTTTGGGGTCATACAGTCAGAAGCAGATTGTAGTGGTCTCTGTCTTCTTCCAGCTTAAGCCTGCTTTCACTTTTACATTGCTACCAACTTGTTTGTGCAAAGGGGACCATTTTTCCAAAAGCCAAACCAGAGCCCTCCTTGTGTCTTTCTCTGCTCCCTGGCCCTACTGCTTTGGGTTTGGGCACTCGCAGCCTTTGATGTGTGTGTCCTCTCAGCATCCCTGTGAGAGAGAGTGCAGTGCTATTGTCCCCATTTTACAGATGGGGAACTGAAGCCCAGAGAGGTTAAGTGCCTTGCCATGGTCACGCAGGAAGTCTGTGGCTGAGGAGAGAAATGAGCCCAGGTCCCCCAGGCCCTAGGCTAGCGCCCTAACCACTGGACCATCCTTGCTGACCAGACTTACTGATCAGAAAACCTGCTGTAAGTGCTACTTACATTTGCATGTCATTTTAACCCTGTAGATGATGTAGTACAGTGTTTCTAACTCACCAGAAGCTTCTCCAAAAGGATATTTCACTGAAAGGGTTGTCCAGCCCTGGCACAGGCTGCCCAGGGTAGTGGTGGAATCACCATCCCAGGAGGGACTTTAAAGCTGTGTAGATATGGCACTTGGGGACATGGTTAGTGGTGGGCTTGGCAGTGCTGGAGGCATGGTTGGACTCGGTGATCTTAAGGGTCTTTTCCAACCCAAATGAATCCATGGTTTTCCAGAAGTGCACTTCTCCAGGTTTTGAATCTAAAGATGGCTTTCACCTTTCCCATCCAAATATGGAAGAAATCCAGGGACACATTTGCTATATTATCCTGCTTTTTGCAGAATTATTGTTGGAGCTACATATAAAGCCATCAGAATACGGCAGGGGCTGCTGCTGGTCCCTTTAGGTGCCAGTGTTATTCTCTGCCAGGTGTAGATCTAACAATAGTATTTTCACAAGCATCCTGAAATTTCAATTGAAATTTTTTTCTGCTTCATTATTCCCTCTGATTTTTCTCTTCTCTTTCTCCCTTGAAGCACAATTCAAATCAGGGAGAACAGAATGAGTTAAACTTTTGAACTTGCAGTGCTTATGCAATATTAAAATGAAGCGAATTAGGTTCTTGTGTTATGGAAGAGATTTGTTTATGTGGGTGAAATTTTGCACGTGACTTAATTTGCAATTGAATATTCTTGACTCCCTCAAAACACTTAGTGCTACTGAGTGTCTGCTGAGATTTTCAGACTTGTGTCATACTCATGGTTGCATGTTATTTTCTCTAATATCTGTATCCTCAACAGCATCTGGTCCATCTTGCTGGATCGCTCCCAAACTCGGCTTCAGATAGTCCTGATCCCTCCTGCATTATTCATCCCCACAGAAGATGATGCAATGGAAAGACAGAAACTTATTGATGCTGTACCAGATTCTGTTACACCTTTCATTATTTATGAAGAAACGACAGACATCTGGATAAATGTAAGAATTTGAATTTCAGCCTTCTCTGACAGTTTGTAACACTCAAGCAACGTTGATGTTACTATGCTGCCAAGGGGAGTGATCCCATCATGCAAGTTCTGTGCATATTCAATGCTTCCTGCTGTAAAAAACAGGATGTAGAGAACAGATTTGGGATGTGAAAACAGACCTGCTTTGCTTGAGTTGATGCAGTACTCAGAGCCAGAAGCAGAGCCCAAGGCTCTGGCATTCCCAGGCAGCCCCTTGCCCACAGTGTCATTGGCACTCTCCAGCTTCTTGGTGCCAATTGCTAGCACCAGCAGTGCCACCAGATAAAATATTCTCCAGACTGCAAAGATGGATCAAGATGACACTGGGTGAAAAGTTCTGAGAGTCACCTGACAGGCACTGAACTCCTCCTGAGCTACATTTGGTCTGGTGAAACAGATTAAGGGTGTGATGTTCTGGGAGGTGAACTGCAGGGCATGTGCTGAGAGCAATCAGGTGCTGTAAACTGTGCCTCTCCTCACACTGCTGCACATAAAGATCCCTGTCTCTGTAGTGACATCCCGTTGGAGGTGTGCCTGGAAGCATCAATCACTGGCACATAGTTGGATCTTTCAGCAGAGAGCATTTGCACAAAGCCTTCCAGTGAATGGTCCCTGTACAGCAAGCGCTCTCTTAGATACCACGTTCTCTCCTTAGTAAATGGTTTCAGGATGGTGCAGTGAATTTCCCTTTCTCCATTATTTTTACTGTCTGAAATGGTTCTTGACTGGCAGCTCATACTGAGAAGAAAAATGCTCCCAAGTCCTCCAAAGATTGTCCCTTGAAGCAAGAGCTGACATGTTGATGAGTGGGAAGATGACGTCAGCTCATCCTTCTTTAAAAAATCCTTCACTTGCAGGCAGCACAGGATAGAGGTGTGCAGAGCTGGACCCACCTCTGTGTCTAAGGTAGAAGGACAGGTGCAGAAAACTTTTAATCAGTTTGGTGACCAGGATATAGAGTTAGACTGGCAGAAAGCTGGAGCTGCTGGGATGTGGCACTGGCTGCAGACCCCCCTGGCTCCAAGTGTAACTGGTTCTCCCAGTAAGGGACAGTGCTGCGCCCTGTTAGCCTGGGCTGTGTGGTCTGTGCTGAGCAACAAGAGGAACATATTTTGTGTGACTGCAGTGCCAGAGTCCTGCTGGTAACAATAATCCACTGCTCTGTCTTCTCAGATCCATGATATCTTCCATGTCTTCCCTCAAACCCATGAGGATGAGATAGAGTTCATTTTTGCTTCTGAGTGCAAAACAGGCTTCCGGCACCTGTACAAAGTCACCTCGGTTCTGAAGGAGAGCAAGTACAAACGCTCCTGTGGAGGCCTCCCTGCTCCGAGTAAGGGGAATTGTTCTTGTGCTTTAATTGGGCATTTGTTGCTGACCAGTGAAGAAGTAAATGTCCTTCCAGCTGGCAGGAGTTATTGCCTTGTTGGAAACTTCTGCTGTTGTCCAGAAAAGCACTTCAGTGTACAGTCATTCCTCTGGAAATTGTACAGGAGTTACTCTGTTTTTAGCATGCCTTAGTTTTAACCTCAATCCTTCCTTATGGACTGAAAGGAAAAGTTTCCAAAAACCAGATGGATAACAAGCTCCCTGTGATACTGTGAGACATAGTTGGCTTTTCCTCTTCACTGCTGGAACTTATTCTTGCTCAGACTCAGGAAATCACTGTGTGCAAAGCTCCCAGAGTGGTTTTTCCACAGCATGTGTTCTTAAATTCACAGTTTCATGCTGTGATACTTAATTTACTTAGTGTGTGTTGAAGGCACCTACTGAACTCTGCATGCACAAAAAAATACACCTAATTTTACTAGAGGTCCTAGTTTCATCCAACTGCTGTGGGTCTTTTTCCCACATAGCATTCTATCTTGGGCTGATTAGATTGCTCTGAATGCATCTGATTTCTTTTTCTTGCTAAATCTCCCTCATTCTAAGGGAAATAAAATCATCTTATAAACACAGAGTTCTTGCAAAATTCTCCATTTTTAGCACCTCATATTTCCTTTGCCTGCCTATTGTTCAGCATAAAACCTTTATTTCTATGCAAGTGATATTTTTAGAAATAAAAAACTCTGTACATTGGCTATTTGCAGGTGACTTCAAGTGCCTCATCAAAGAGGAGATAGCAATTACCAGTGGGGAATGGGAAGTGCTTGGCAGACATGGATCCAATGTAAGTCTTGCTCTTGCTTCCTGGATATCCTGTCACACACACTGCCAGGAGATGGTCCCTTGGAAGGATCAGCAGAAATCTATTAATCCAGTATGGTTTTAGCCAAAATACACAGTATTTCTGTTCTGTGTAACTTGTGAGCTTGCACAAGGAAGGAAGGAATGGTCCCCAAACTGCTGCTCTTCTAGCTCTGAGCTGGATGAATTCTTTGGTCATTTGAATCAAACTGACAGAGTTATAGACAGTGAGAACAGTTTTTTGGTTTATCCCTTGCAGATTGCTGGGCTCCAACTCAGCATTGTGGAAGTGGGGTAGGAGGGATGCAGGGGAGACTTTGAGGTGGTAGAGCTGGATATTGAGGGGTGTGCTGTTTGTTTTGTTCCTGACAGATCTATGTGGATGAAGCCAAGAAACTGGTGTACTTTCAAGGCACAAAAGACTCGCCTCTGGAGCATCACTTGTACGTTGTTAACTACGAGAACCCCGGGGAGGTGAAGCGTCTGACAGAGCGTGGTTACTCGCACGCCTGCTGTGTCAGCCAGGTACCTGTGCCTGCCAGGGCTGGCTGGGCTGCCCTGCCTTAGCCCAGGCTTATCCTGTCACTCAGCAGACAGGGCAGTATTGATACATAACAAAAACAGATTTTAGGCTGTGTTGTGCCCTCCTGTACGTTGCACAAGTGTGTGAAACCACCCTGGAAACCAGACTTGACCTCCCGGTTGCTCTCCAGCTCACTTCAGGCAAAAGGAACCAGGATGAATTGTTTGAAACTCCTTGAGCCTGACTCTGCCTGCAGTGGACTAGAGAGCAATCACCAGAGGAGGTGAGCCTGGGCAGCACTGGGTGGAGTTCCAAGAATCCAGCTGGGAATTCATGGCCCAGAAGGTGTGTGACGAGCTCTTCATGCCACTCTTGGATTTTCAGGTGTATCTTTGGCTTTGGAGTGTTAAAGACTCTGGTGTTTCAGAGGCAGAAGTGCTCAGATTTCTGGTTTAATTTGGTCCATAAGGATCTTCTGAAAGATCTAAATGCAAAAGAAACGATCACTTGCTTGTGGCTCTGCACTGAGAAGTTCAAGACATGTTCTCTTTCTTCCCAGGACTGTGACATGTTCATCAGCAAGTACAGTAATCAGAAGAACCCTCACTGTGTGTCACTGTACCGGCTGTCAGGGTCAGAAGATGATGCAGCTCATAGGACTAAAGAATTCTGGGCTACCATTTTAGATTAGGAGTTCTGTGAAGTACAGGAGGGACATTTTCAGCTCAGCAACAAATGGATATAAACAGACCACAAAGGAATTTAGAGTGGAAATTACCAATTTTCTCCTGCCAGTTTTAGCTCAGGGAGGGATTTAAGTGCACTCACTTTCTCTGTGTGATGTGTCTGCTAAAGAGTGTGTTCCTGGGGAGGGAGGTGCACTTCTTAAATAGTGTGTGCTGCTGCCTACTTGTGTCTTCATGAGACAGCTCTTGGGCTATAATCTTCCACTGGATTTCTGTTGCCTTTCATGTCTCCTTACCTGAGGCATACTCCATGTCCCGTGCTTTCCACATGTTAGTGTAGCAAGTCCTAAGTGGCATTAGGAAGGGATGGGACATCTGTGAAGAAGAGTTACTGTCATTCACAGGAGAGCAGGGATGGGAATGCAATAGGGCTCAGAAAGCTCACCTTGGGCTGGGGCATTCCCAGTCTCTGCCTGAATCCAGCCACACCCACTGGAAAGTGTGGGAGAGCTCCACTGGGATTGCAGTGAGACTGGTGACAGGACAGTGGTGCAGCAGAGCTGTGTTACTCCTCATGCATTCCTGTTAAAACCAGGCTCTCTGTTCCCTCCCATGGCAGGTCCTCTTCCTGATTACATTCCCCCTGAAGTGTTCTCCTTCGAGAGCTCCACGGGGTTCACACTGTATGGAATGATGTACAAACCCCACAACCTGCAGCCTGGGAAGAAGTATCCCACAGTGCTCTTCATTTATGGAGGCCCTCAGGTGAGTTGGTGAGCAGTGGGATGGGCTGGCAGGGATCACTCCACTGCTCTCCTGCAGGAATGCTTCCTGCTCTGTGCTGAGGGCAGCAGGTGGCATTTTGCCTGTTTGGTGAGCAGGTGCTTGGCCAGAGGTGCTGTTTAATTGTTTCCACATCATGGATCCAGGCACTGCCATTTGTCTGAGGACAAGTATGGAGTGGCAGAGCTGGAACTGGGGGGAAAAGGGAATCAAGTAGTCTTTGTTCCCAGTTCTGTCTCCTCCTCCTCCTCCTCTCCAGTTTCCTCATTGGACCTCAGTTCAGCTCTTCATACCTGTGACACAGAATTACTTGTTTTACTGGGAGAAGAGTTTATTGCATAGCAGGGAGAGGGAATCCTGCAGCGGGAGTAGGGATCTTGAAAACTTTACATTATAAAATTGTATAAAGTATTTAAAGGAAAGGAAATATAAATAAAATCTGAAATTGGATTAAGAGGTGACCTCTGGATTCTGTGCTGCTCTTGTATTCCAGGTACAGCTGGTGAACAACCGGTTTAAAGGAATCAAGTACTTCCGACTGAACACTTTGGCCTCTTTAGGCTATGTTGTCGTTGTCATTGACAACAGGGGCTCCTGCCACCGAGGGCTGAAGTTTGAAGGGGCCTTTAAATACAAAATGGTAAGTGGGCTCTGACTGTGGCTCTGTTCTCAGCCAGAGATGGGTTTGAGTGTCAGAGTTGCCAGCACTGAAGCAATGGTTTGGAACAGATGCCCAGCACTGCCTGTGTGACACTCCTGGGGTTTGGGGGCAGCAAGTGTGGATAGGTGAGAATTGAGGGAGGAAAGATGCTTGATATGGAAAAGATAAAATGTCATGGTTTGAGGTTGTGAACCAGTCGCAGCCTGACACAGGATGGCTCATAACGAGGCTGTGACTTCTCACAGATACAATCTGCAGCTCACATGAAGAAGGACAGTTGCATTCTGAGCATGGATCACTCCCGAGTACCAAAGCACCGAAGGTGGTTACCTTGGGCAATCCTGAGAAAGTAACTTTTGGCTGTAACTAACAGAACTTTGTCTCTGCCCTGCCAGGGACAGATAGAAATCGATGACCAGGTGGAAGGGCTGCAGTATTTGGCGTCGCAGTACGACTTCATCGACTTGGAGCGTGTGGGCATTCACGGCTGGTCCTACGGAGGCTACCTCTCCCTAATGGCTTTAACACAGAGGTCAGATATCTTCAGGGTATGTTCATGCATTGAGTACTACTCTGGTGGTGCAGACAGAATTTTTCCTTTAACAGTGTGACTTCCATGGGTTGTCACAGCACAAAGACCTTGGAGCTTGCTCTAAACAAGCTAGGACACAGTGCAATGGCTGTTTTCTTCAAGACTCTTCTGTTTGGCTGACTTCAGTGAGAAGTTGCTTTCCCAGCAACTCTTGGACTGTTGAGCCTGCAATGACTTAGCTGTGCTCCTGTACTTCTACCTATCTCAGGTCACCTGTGCTGAAGGTACCTTAGGTAGTGTCAACTGCTGTCCACTCTGTGCCAGCTGAGCTCTTTGTGTTGTGAACCAGGTAAGGGAAATGATCCTGGTGAAAAACAACACCTCCTTCTCATTCTCTGTTTTTTTGGCCCTGAGAGAGTAGTTCCTTGCAGACTGATCATTTCCCAGATCAAATTGCCAGGCTGCTGCATAGCAGAGTGTTCTGAAGCAGCCAGGAGGACAGCCTGGGGATGGGGAGAGGTACTGGAAAGAGGTTCTTGTGCTTGCCTGACCTTAGACCACTGTAATAAACAGCCAGACTGCCTTTGGGTGGAGGTGTGGGAAGACCTGGATATTTCCCTTGAGAGGTGTTTTGTTCTTTGTGGCTACTCTTGCTTTCTTTAAGTCCAACCTTAGTATTACTGGGACATTTAAAAGTTATTTGTCTTGATCCTTAACGATGTTGTATTTTTATCTTTACAAACAGCTGCCTTGCAGGGGGGGTTTAGGTGGTTTTGTGGTGGTTTTTACTTTTTTCTGCATCTTTTTTTCCACAAGCCTCTCTGCAAGCTGGTGGTAGCTATGCAGGGTAGTTTGCTGAGTCCTTGGGAGCTGTTTCTGTTTGACATGTAAATGGACCCAAACCCACAAAACCTCACAGAATGCAGTTCCCTCAGTGTCCCTTGCAGGGGGTATCTTTAGAGTTGCTTCCAGTTTACCTGTAGGCTCTTCCAGGTTTCCAGCACGCGTGGATCGTAGCTGAGCTGTGCTGTGTGTGAGCTGGAGCAGAGGCAGCAAGGATTGCTTTGCTCCTTCCACAGTTAGAGTGGGATGAAGCTGTGGCAGGGAAGCACGTGGCCAGGTCAGGGGGCAGTGTTGTCATTCCCAGCTCAGGGGTCAGTGTTGTCATTCCCCTCTCCATGGCACTGGCAGGTGGCCATAGCCGGAGCCCCCGTCACGCTGTGGATTTTCTACGACACGGGATACACGGAGCGCTACATGGGCCACCCAGAGCACAACGAGCAGGGCTACTACCTGGGATCCGTGGCCATGCAGGCTGAGAAGTTTCCTTCTGAGTAAGTCTGCTTCTGGCTCTTGTCTTCTTTTTCCTGCCAGGAGAGTTCAAGGTCCATAGACAAATTTTTATCTCCCTGATCTTGGTATTTCTCTAATCACAAATGCTCACATTAAATAATATTTTAAAAAAACACCACAATAATAATTATTTACATATAATAGCAACATTAATAAACACTAATACACTAATAAACTTAATACTCAAATGAACATTTGCATAATTACAGATCATTTCATGTAAACCCTTTTATATTATATTTTGTGTCTAAAGAAATGACAAGCATATCTTTAGAACCACATTAAGGTAAACAAAAATTGGCTGATTGGGATGTTTCTGTATGTCCTGAGGCTGTCTCAGCACAGCAGAGCAAGATGGGGCCATGGGCTTTCTTGCCAAAGAGCTGACAATCAGCAAGGTTGAAGGCCTCACATTGTCCAAGCTAGGAAGCATTGCTGAGAAATAAATAAGATATTCAGATAAAAGGCCTGACTGTAATATTCATGTACAGGAAGAACTTTCAGAGGAAGAAGGAACACATTCGAGAAATGTGTCTATCCAGAGCAGTTTACAAATGTGAAATTACTGCTTTCAATGCAAATACTCTTTTTTGGGGAGTGTGTTTGTAGGGATGTGTGTGGACTGTGAAATGAGTGGGATGCTGTCTAGAACTGTTTGTCTCTTGCTTTTCCCAGACCAAACCGTTTGCTGCTGCTACACGGATTCTTGGATGAGAATGTTCACTTTGCACACACCAGTATTTTGCTCAGCTTTTTGGTGAGAGCTGGGAAACCCTATGACCTACAGGTAAGGCCAGAATCAGGGGGTAAAGCTAACGTGTGTCTTGGAGGAATCCAGAATTGGAATTTGTGCTATGGCTGTGCTATGGCTGTGCTGGACACCTTGGATGAAATTGTAGCATTTGAGCCAAGCATTTTTATAAATGTTAATATCTTATGAATTAACAAAAAGAAAAATTGGGCAAATAAGCAGTTAAGGCTATTCCTGAGGAGATCTGCAGCTGGAAGGCAGTGCAGCAGGGTTCATGCAGCATAGAAAAGGGTCTGCACTTAATTAAACCCTGCTGGCTCAATGCAGGTGGAGCTCAGAGATCCCACACCACACTACAGGAGTGGGAATGTGATCTGGCCAGGAGCTGCCTCTGCTCAGCCAGGCTGATCCCACTCCAGCACAGCTGGATCCCAGTGAGTTCTCCTGGGTTCAGGCAGTGGAGGATGAGGTGTGTCAGTTCAGGTGCAGACTTAATGCGGGGACATTCCCTGGACATTTGGAATGTGGCTCTGGGACTGATTTAAATACTGGCACCTTCAATCCTATGGATATTTATTATTTTCTTTTACATTTCAGATTTACCCTCAGGAGAGACACAGCATCAGGGTCCCTGAGTCGGGGGAGCACTATGAACTGCACCTGCTGTATTACCTGCAGGAGAACCTGGGCTCTCGCATTGCTGCCATGAAGGCCATGTGACTGACCTCAGAACTCTGCTCCACGGCTGCTCTCCGGACAGGGAGGTGTAGGAAACTAGAGAAAATAGGATGGAACGTTGCTTTCTGGTGCCTGCCACACGTACACACATGTACACACCCTCACAGACACTTTTTTAAAAGTAAATTTGGTGCCATACAGGAAATTAAAGTACGGTGATCTAATAACTTTAGTTATTAAACTTAAAGTTTAAGCTGTAAATAAAATCCGATGTCTGTCAGTACCATGGGTGTTCTCTTGGGGGACAAGCTGAAACTGAAAATAACGTACTTCTACAGCACCAGATCTTCACTTTTTGCAAGCATTATGACATAATTGATGTATTTTTACAGTGTGTTCCTTGGTATCTTACTACATTATACTGGATGATTTACTCACTACACAGCAAGAGTTTACCTGAATGGTTACAACTTTTATTAATTTTAAATGCTATCATATAGCTTTTATGCTTTGTGAAAGGGATGTGTCTCACTCCTTAGAAGGTGGTCACAAGTTGGACACATCCCCTGTCTAGATGTTAATTGTTTTTTAAGAAGAAAGACTTTTAAGCTGCCTCTTAATATATTTCAAGTTTGGATTCAGATCAGTTGATGCCAGGTTCTTTGATTCCTTCTCCCTTAGGATAAATAATTCTCTTTTCTTCCAGCAGCTTGAGAACCTATCCTGATTGTACTTGATTTCAGTGGAGAAGTGAATTGATACTTTACTGTGATATGGGCATAACAATCTTTTATTCTGAGGTGCAAACTAACTTTAAGTTAAAAAGCAGAAACTGTAAACTTTCAAACAAGCTTCAGAGTGCATCCCGTTGAGATGTTTCCCTGATGTTCACTCTGGAGCTGGGTTTGCAATACTCCTTCCTCACCCTCACATCAGCATGGTATAGGCATATGCATCTTGTTACAATTTAGACATTCAATATTCTAATTCCAAGGTCTGCAGAGGATGTGTGGGGAGACCTTACATGTGAGGCAATATGAACTGTTCTGTTGAATTTCCTCTTGTATGAGGGGCTGTTTCCCAGGCTCATGCCCTGTCCAGTCCCCTGTTCCTGGGTCCTTTCTAGCACTACTGTGCATGATGATGTGATGCTGTCTTTGGGAACCCTTTTCTGTACAGCTTCGGGTAACCCTCAAGGAATTGCAGTCCCAGTTGTGTTTTGGTACTGAGGTTTTAACTAAGCAGCAGGCTTGGCTGAAAACATAAGTGTGTGAAAGCACTTTTAACTGGCAACAGGTAATTCAGGATAGAATTCCATAGAAAGTTACTCTCTAATCCAGAAAATTCTCCCTTTGGGACTTGCCTCTGAGACTCTGATAAGTTTTAATGGTTTTCTTAGAAACCGAAGAACTTAGTTTTCTTTCTGTTTTGGTGCTAGAGACAAGCAGAGCATGCTTTTCTTTTCATCTGCTGAAATTCTGGAATCACTCTCAGTGTTCACGCTCTTAGAACTCCACATGTTGTAACCTTGTACTTTCCTTGATTTTGTACTGTTCAGCTTGATCCCAGAACTCTGGGATTTAAGAGTCTGGCTGTATCAGATCAAACTGCATCGTTTTTCAGTTAAATTGCTGGGCATGTGCACCAAAGCGAGGGGAGCTGGGGCGGTTACACGGTTGTAAAAGCCGTGTGTGAGAACAGGATCTGGTTTTTGAGATAAACAAAGGAGCCAAAGCCAACAGGCGTGCAGGGAGTTTCCTCCGCAGTGGGGAGCCTTGGTTCGGGCTGTTCGCTGGTTTTCAGATGGCAGCGATTACAAGTGGGTCAGTTAAAACACCATTAGCAGGTCAATAACGGGTTGATTTTGGGCAGAGGAGGAGCCCAGCTCCAGGAATGTCTTCTCTTAGTGGTGAATTGAGTCTGAAGCAAAGGCAGCATCCCTGGGGAGAATGTTAAAGTCAGCACCGAGAGAGGAGCACGTGTGCAACACAACAGTGGGAAGAGACAAAAATAAGCTGTTCCTCTGGAATTCCATTGTGTTCCCAACGTGTTTATGCTGTATTATATATACATATATCTATATCTGTTCATATATACATATATGTATAAAATTACCCATGGATAGTATTCACCTTTTCCAAGGTTGTTTATATTTTGTTCAATATTAAATTAAATGCGTTTTTGGGGTGTTTTTGTTCTTTTTCTAGAGGTGATTACCCTTGAATGTAAATGTATATGATTTTTAAGATGAAATTGATCCTTTTGTTTAAAAAACAGAACAAAAATGGCCTTCATCAAACAGTGCTTTTTTGGGGGACTGAAGAACTAAACATTACGTAAGTAAACCAGGCTGGGTTTGGATTTGAGGCAGGATGTAATTGTAAGTGCTGACATAGAATATTTAATAATGCATCCTTCCACTGTTTTAAATATATACATCAAAAAGCTATTAAAGTACAATATATTGTAACTGCTCTGTTTTACAACATAAATTATGGATTCTTTCTTTTCCTATCATTTTCTTTTCTTTTTACTGTAGTTAAGCACTTTAAGACCCCGTGCTTTCTTATCCTGTGGAAGTGGTGGAAGGATTTATCACCAGAGTTTTGTAGTTCTTGCAAAAGAGATGCCTTAGATGAAGTCTGATTCCAGCTAAATTCCCAGTGAAGAAAGGCCCCGTTGTGATCGAGACTGCAGAGGTAGGAAGGTGTTAGTGCTGAGGGACTTTGCATCCTTATTTCTGGGGGGGAGTGGTATTTCTGTACCTTGTATGGTGAAGTGTTGGTCTGGCCAAGGATGAGGACAAGGCTGTACCTTACAGTCCTGGAGATGGGAATATCGCTCGAGAGGGTTTCCAGCCTGTTTGATACTTGGGATTGTATTTCTTCACTTCCTGCATGTTAAAAAAATCTCTTAGTTAATGTGAGTTTTAAGCAGAACTATGAGACCCTGGGGGAGCACATGGAGCAAAAAAGATGTGAGGAGGAGCCTTTGCTGTGGCTCCCAAAGCAGAGGTTGGTATGTCCCTGCAGAGGCCCCTGTGCCTTGCAGGTGTGTCTGCCCAGCAGGAGCTCTGAGCCAGGAGCAGGACTGAGCTTTCCTTGCATGGTGGATATTTAGTTGCACAGGTGTCTTTGAGATGAATGTTTTCATATGTTTAAGAACATATATGAAATATGGGGATCTGAGTGCTGAGATACCGAAGTTGTTGCGTGTTGGTGCAGGCAGTTTCCTGTCTTTTGAGGTGGTTGGGTTTGGTTGTGTTTGTTTCTGGTGAAAGCATGTTCTTTCACCCCATTTTAGTGTGGTTTCCAGTGATGCCTCGTGAGTGTGGGATGTGCAAAGCTGTTTGGTTTCACCCCCACCTCCCTTTGTTCTCAATGATCTCTTTTTATTCAGAACACAGAAAAATTAATATCCACTTAGAAAGGCTTAATTTTTACAAACTCAATGGGAAAATGAGCTCAAAGCACCAAGCAAATCTTTGAAAATAACTAAGTTCATTATATTAGAACGGAAAATGCATTCCCTATTTACTGGTGGCATTTGGAAATAGGCTATGGAAAAACTTTCTGAGTGGGATAGTGTAGTAATGCTTTAACCCTGGAGCACCTGTGCCTGAACCTGGAACCTGGGTAGGAAATTACAGAGAATTCTCATACTCTGAGTTCCAACCCATATTCCCTGCCAGGAGAAGTGGGTTGTGCTCCTGCTGTGTGTCCGTGTGTCCGGCTGTCCTGCTGCTGCCGTGACACCCAACCCCTGCCCAGGCAATAACAGAATCTGAGTGAGCAAAACATGAGCCAGGTGAGGCCCCTGCCTTGGGCTGCCTGTTTCCTTGAGTGCCAGAACCCTACAGAGACTTTCTATGTGCCCCTTTGGAAGGGGCAGAGAGCTCTTCCTGCGGTTTTTCCCTGGCTGTTCTGCGCAGTAGAAGTTCAGGTGTTTAATTTGAGAACATGAAGTGCCTGCTGTTTGCGTTAACAAAATTGCATGTCTCACTCCAGTGGGTTTATTGGGCTCCCTCCTCCCCCCTCCCGAGCTCCATGGCTTTTAATCATGTAAAGTGGAGACATTAGTTTTGCTGCGTTTTATTACAAAACCTTTGTTGCAATAAAGATGCTGCTAAATAAATTGAATTAAATGTTGGGTTTTTTTCCACCCTATTTTCAACTGTCTGTCTCCTTGATTTAGGAGAGCTTGTGTGTAATTAAATCTGTGCCCTCGTTGCGCTGTGGAAAGCAGCAGTGATGTGTGTTTGATGCACGCCGGTTGTTCCACAAAAGCATCTGCCGTGTTTCCTGTCCCTTGTGGTTTGGGAGATGGATCCCATCAGGAAGATCAGGCATTTCCGTGGCACAGCCATGTTCCCTCTCCCGAGTGTTTCCATGTGAATGCTGTTTGCAGCCCTCTGCAGCCACCAGCCGGAGCTGTCGCACCAGGGACTGCAGGACGCAGCCTCACAGAGGTGGGACAAGTGCCACGGGGGAGGAGGTGGCCCTGGTGCCCCGGCAGAGGAACCTGTGTGAGTGGAATGGGCAGTGCAAGAGATGTCCCCTCATACAGTCACCTTGTGCTCAGCCTCCTGTTTGTCTCTCTGAGCAGAATGAGCTTTGCAGGCACCCCAGTTCCATCTAGTGCTGTCCCAGAAGGTCTGGGGGGGTGGCTCAAGGCACATACAATTCATATTTTTATTCATTCCTCATTTTTCACCCACAGAGAAGCACACCCTGTTCAGGAGTGGGGGAAGCACTGGCCTGTGCTCTGCCCTGTTCCTATACAAGGTTCCCAGTCTGCAGTCCTTAGTGTACATCCTTGGAGGCTTCTGAGACCTGAGGGAAAGGAGTGAAGATTTAGGCAAGTCATTTCAGGCTAAAGTCATGGTATACTTTTAGTGTTTGGGGTCACAGTGCTGGTCTGGGACAGGATAACAGGAAAATCTTTTCTGGAAGAACTTAAGGCCTGAGCACAATTAACCCTCCTGTCATTTTATGGGATTAATAACAAAACGGCAAACGGCAGCTGGGATTAAAGGGCTGTGTTTTCCTCCCCAGCATAAAGTCTTTTCTCAGGATAATCATTTTCCAGACTGCTCCTGCCAAACAGACCTATGGAGAACCAGTGCTGGTTCAGTCAAGCTCCTCGGCACAGGCATGCAGCACCACAGGGCTGGCCCTGCAGGGCTGCATGTTTCCCAGGGAATTCCCAAAATCAGGATTTCCTCTCGTAAAAGCAAACAGCAACAGATTGCTCCAAGGTGAAAGAAAGCAGCAAGGAAATGATGACCCAAAAGCAGCAAGGTAAGGACCTGTGGGAGGAAGGAGTGCTGGTGCAGGGCTGGGACCTCATCCCCTCCCTCAGCTCTTGGAGCCATGCTGTTTGCTTCCTGCTGGAATAAAAGCCCTTTTGCTTTTCCAACAAAGATAGTTTGAACAATTTGCTTTCACCATTGCCCTCCCTCTTTTCCTTTCTATTCTACTTGCAATTTTGTTAGAAATAGATGAGTAAATACCGTGTACATTTGTGTGGGAGCTGCGGTGGCTTGTGGTTTTATGATTTTCCCCCCAGCTGTGATTCATTGCTTTTTACATTTTTTAATCTATTCCCCCACACCCCCTCCTGCTCTCCCTGTCTCCTTGCAGCCCAGCAGCTGTCGTTATCAGTGAAATGACTTGACATTATTTTGCTGTACTTTGTTTCTATTCATTGATTTGTTGAATGAAAACTATTTATCTGGCACTGACACGCGAGATTGGAGCCTTTCAAGAAGAGGCAACTCTGCAGTATAATTTTGCTCCAAAATGAGCTGAGGAAGAGCTCTGTGTTAAACCAGCTCAGCTGAAATCCCTGGCCCCATGACAGAGCAGAAGCAGGGGCTGCACAGCCTGCAGAGGTGGTGTATAGGAAAAGCATCTTCCCTTATCCTGCCTGCCCCCTGGGAAACCCTGCTGGGCTCTGCCACAGGCAGATGAGGGATTTCTCTAGAGCTGGGGATGCAGGGAGGTGCAGGAGGGGAGGCAGGTGCTGGACAGCAGGTGTGCAGTGTCTGACTGGGTCTCCCAGCATCAGGAGGATGTGGAGCGAGTCCAGAGGTGGCCATGGAGATGCTCAGAGAAGCTGTGGCTGCCCCATCCATGGAAGTGTCCAAGGCCAGGTTGGATGGCCTTGGAGCAACCTGGGGCAGTGGAAGGCGTCCCTACCCATGGTAGGGAGGGGAATGAGATTATGTCTCTAGCTCCTTCCAAATGAAACAGTCTCTGATTCTGTGATTCCATGATTTTGTCTGGGTGTAGGTGAGTTGTTCCCCTTAGCATGATGAGCACTGCAGTGCTCGAGCAAAATCCAGACTTGCTCCTTTGCTTCCTGTTTTCTCCATCTGCTGTGAGTTCATCCCCATTTCAATATTGGGCATCCAGTGAAAAACACCTTCTGGATCCCTCCTGTGATCCGATAAGCCTGGAGAGAGGGTTGCACATCCCCAAAAAGAGGTGCCAGTGATTTTAGTTTACAGGCTGCTGTGATTTTAGTTTAAAAAAAAACCTGGGCACTGTCACCTCAAATGCCAGAAGCTGGTTCCCTGCCAGCCCTGCTCAGAAAAATCCCACCTCCTTAGCTCCATCAATACCATCCCACAGCTTGAAGGACAGGTTTTGCCTAGGGAATACGCTCTTGTTTGAGGGATTCAGGATCGCTTTTTCCCACAGAGCCCTGGCTCCTTTCTTCCCGGCACAATCAGCCCTCTTGCCGCTTTTCTTGCCTTTTCTTCCACTGCTTTCCCACATTCTGTTCACACCTTCATGAATATTCAGAGGCCATTGGCCATATGAAGCTATTGAGAGCTCTTGTTAACACTCCTCCTAATGACATGCACCTTCAATAGAAAACAAAAACACAGATAAGAGCTTGTTAGCGCAGACCCTTGTTCCCCACCTAACAAGGTTTCCATTGACTCGGACACTTGTGGTGACACATTGCTTGCTCTCACTGTTGCCTCTTTTGATTTGCGACTGGCTTTTACCGAGGGGGTTTTTTCCTTCCATTTTTTCCCCTTCCTTTTTTTTTTTTTTTTTTTCCTTTTTAGTTTTTTTTTTTTTTCTTTTAGTTTTTTTTTTTTATTGTGCGGTTTTAAGCTAATTAAGAAAAAGGTCAGGCTCCCGGAACAATGAGGAGCGGCGGTACAATGCGCCCCGGGAGCGGCGTGCGCGCAGCCCCGAGCGGCGGGCGAGGGCCGGGCTGCGGCACCGCACGCCTGGGAAAGTTGTGCCGCGAGTGGCACAGGAAGAGCCGAGCTTGGGTCAAGAGGTGATTAAAGCTCGGCGAGAGACTCTGAAAAGGGGCTGAGACCACCCGCCGTGGTTCCCAAGGGCTCCCCGGGTCCCATCATGCATCCTCAAGGCCAGGCAATGGGGTGACTTTTCCAAAACACGACCAGATTTCTGTGAGATGCTCCCCAGTGGCTGCGGGGCTTTTCCCTGGGACTGGAATCCCATCCGGCTTTGGCGACTCTTTTTTTTCCCTCCTCCAGTTGTGCTTCGCCTCCCTCCCGCCGTCACGGAGATCTGCCAGGCGTTCATTAACCGGGCCCACCCATTCGATACCATGAGATGCTTGGCTTGTTGTTGTTGGGTTTTTTTGGCCACACCTCATTATTCCTGCTATTATTAGGCTCTCACGGCGTTGTTTGTCATCTTGTCAAGGCCCTGGAGTTTCTATGGATACTGGTCCCCTAAGTGGCCATGCTATCAATTAAGACAGCTCCATGTCTGAACTCTTCCAGGGGACTTTGTGAAGATCCACAGATAATTTCCCTGATTTCCCTGCAGTTCTCTGTTCCTTATGCAGCTGCCTTTTCCATAACAACCGCTCAGTCAGAGCTCAGCCTGTTCCGGTTTTTTTAAGCATCAAAAGGCAGGATTACCTGTTTGGCTAATAGAATTAGCTAGAGGGTGATGGGGTTAGTAATAAACCACCAGATTATAGACATATATATTTATGACAGGCTGTAATAAATAAGCAATAATGAGATAACCATCATAGTCATGCAAGTAAAATCACCAGCAACAAAACCTGCCATGGAATAAAAAGAGATCTGTTTTGTTATGTTTTTTTGGACTCCCTGGGAGGAGGAAGAAGCCTCTTTTTTTTTTCCTTTTCATGCTCAGCTTTAGGACAGACAACTGTGCAAAACTGAGTGGATGCTGAGTATTTAGTCTGAAAATAAGACTCCTGAAAGTTTCCAAATAGAGCTATTTAAACTTGTTTTCCTTATGAAAAGCAGCATAAGCAAGCTAAATAAAAAAACCCATAGCACTTCCAGTGGGAAAATTAGACAGAAGAAGATTGTGCTGGGTTGATCAGGACTTTACTGGGAACAGGCTGAACACAAGGAGAAGCTTTGCTGAGTGCCTGCCAGTTTCTTACTCTCCTCTTGCTGTTCTTTGAGTACCCAGTGTGTTTCCTTGGACAAATTTGGTTCACCTACTGATTTTCTCACATGGGCATTCTGTTTCCATGCCTGTACCAGTTCATTTTTGCTCTCCCTGTGCAGGTGAGCAGGACAGGGGCATGTTGCTGGAGCTCCCCCGTTCTCAGTCAGCCAATTCATTTTTTTGAGTCCCTGACCATAAAATCTAGGTATTTAATTATTTCTCAGAAGTATCAGGAGGTTTTCAGCCTTTCAGCCAGAGAGGCTGAGCACTGTTTGCATTTACTCTCTGGTGAGAATTAGTATCTGGGGGCAGGAGGCAGCAGGGAAAAAGGCTTTGATTTGGATTTGAGTTTTGGCTGGTGATTACGATTCTTTATATGCTCTAAACCAGTTTATCTCTCCCTAGGTGGATGTGTGCTGCCAGCAGTGCGATAATATCCATCGAGGGCCGCCCAGAGGTACAAGGAATAAACTCATCTGTTATTAGCTAATACAGGAAAGTGATTCGATATGGGTCTCAGAAGCTGGAGTAGATAAATAGGATGATAAATGTTGGCATTAGCAGACGTGACTGACTCCTCTGTCTCTGTGATTTGGTAGTGCCCAGTAATTAAATAGTTGGAGTTTAATGTATTTTAAACTAGAGCTGCAGCCTGTAAATCACGGAGATTATGCTCTTCCCTGCTGTGCACTCTCTGGGTCGGGAGGAATTCCCATTCCTGTGCCGCAGCTGTCCACGGCTCCGGCTGGGTATTGCATCAGTCGGGACCAGGAAAGGCAGCCCCAGCCCTGCTGCTGGCCTTGGGCAGTAAACACATTCCCAGAGCCTTTCCAGCCCAGCAGGGCATGTTCTCCAGCCCTGGAAGGATCCCAACCCATGTCCTCTCCATCTTGAGTTGTCTCCTCTGCTCTGGCTGGAGCAACTTCATGTCCACGTACACATGCAAACACAGGACATGCAGAACCTGAATTCCAGGGGGTAAAGCATCCCAGAGGGGTCATTTCCTCCCAAAACCTGTGCTGTGTCACTGTGGGAGCATCAGTCCCTTGGGCTGCTTTTGTTTTCAGACAGGATTTGCAGGATTACTGTTTTCAATTATCCAAATTTCATCATAGTATTTCACTCCAGGGTGTACTTTCCTTTGCAGCCAGACTATGACCTTATATTAAATTAAAGTGGTTGTATTTTTTTTTAATATACAGGTTGTCCAAGAAGGAAACCCAACCTTTCCAATGCAGCTTGAAACTGTACTGAACTAAAAGTTACTTTTTCTCTATATACACAACTATTTTTGTTTCTCATACTTTATTGGCCAGACCTGACTCTTCTGCTGGAGATTAGTTGTATTACGCAGAGTTTCCCCATTAGCAAAGGACAAATTTAAACATCTCCATGCAATTCAGCCATTTTATGCCTTTTAACACCATTTCTGGATTAGTTCAGGCTTTTACTCAGAAATTTCTCTGTGATAACTGGCCCTATATCCAGACATGGCTTTACCAGAGCCCTGTTATGATGACCCTGAAATGATGTCTGGAGCTACAGCTGGGATAAAACCTGTCCCTGCTCTTCCTGCATATAATTACTTTTAATAAAATCTATTTGTACCTCAAATTATTTCCTCTTCCAAGCATTTTATAATTAAACAATTAATTTTGCTGTATCATTGCAAGTTATGCTCTCTGAGGTCTGCCTGCTGTTCTGCATGGAATGGAGGTGAGCAACTTTCCCCTGGGGGAGGGATAAAAATGAGTTCTGCTTTAGCTAAAATAGATGTTTCTTTACTCTTTTGATGAGCAGAAGCTGATGATTGTCAACCCACAGCCTGAAGCAACAACTAATATTGCTTTCAGCAAGATCAGCAGCAGTTTAACAACTGATGAGCAGGAATTATTGGAGAGGAGTTGTGTTTTGGGAAGCATAAGGTATAACCTTCCCCACGGGGCTTTGCAGGGAACTGGATCATCTGTAAATCATCCTGTGGCTTGTTTTTTCCATACACTGTTACTGTTTTCCTTCTAGATCACTTTTAGCCTGCCTTTCCAGATACTGCTACTATGCACAGCCCACACAAACCCAGGGAACTTCAGCCTATGGTGGTGTTGGCATCAGAAGCTGAAGGACATGGGGACCTTCAGACTCTCCTGGCTCTTGGTGGGCTGTGGCAGAGTTAAAGATCAACCCCCTTCTTTCCACACTGCAGTGCCTCCCTGTGCCCCATCCTTTGAACAGAGACTGTTCTTTAGTTGCACAAGGGGCTGTAGGGGTGGGATATAATGCAGATTGCCCATGGATGAACTTTCACAAGCTCTTGCTAAGAATTGGAATGAAGAAATATGTGAGCTTGTAGCTGTTGGACCAGAGATGCTGTTTGGGTATGAACATGGTGCCATGGAAAAAAGATACTGGTAAGTGTTGGTAGAGTTGACAAAGCTGCCCAACAGCAGCTGGAAGATTTTCCCATGGTAAAACATCTCTGGAAGAATAAATTCCCAGCCCTGGGTGACCTGCAGTCTTAAGTGTTGAGGAGGAATGAAAATGTTCGAATCCTCTCACCCTTGCTGCTGGAAGTTAAATTTCCTCCTGTCTGGTCCTCTGCTTAGCAGAGTCCCTGCCCTCGTAGCTAATGGTACCTTTGGTTGCTAAAGTTATTTTAGCATAAATAGAAGTCACTCAAAGGAGAGTGGTGTGTGGAAAGCAGTAGAAGCCACCTGGTCTGATACAAAAGGGATTGGGATATTTTAGCCAAGTGAAGCGGTAAATGGAAAATGCAGCTGGATGTAGACAAATGCAAAGTGATAATTATGGGCAGTGAATGGAAAGAGGGTGGAAAACATCAGGAGCACATCAAAGGTGGAACAGCCAGAGAGGAGGCAAGAGGTACTGCAAAAATCCTTCAGTGTGATCCAGATAACCTGGATAGAATGGAACAAAGTGCCCCCAGACCCTGCTGTACATGAGCAAAGGAGCCAGGGGGCTGCAGAGCTTTCCCATGTCGACAGCCAGCCCACGGCTTAGCAGCAGGGACAGCAAATGTGGCTGTGTCTGAGGAACTGCTCCACACAGCACCTCTGCTCTGGCACCTCTTTTAAAATAGAAATGATGGGTCATTACTGCAAATTTGCTGAGTTAATTCATTGGGTTTGTGTGTGTGGAGAGGCAAAGAGGAAAGCAAAGGGGTCCACGTTTGCCTGCAGCCATCTTTTATGGTCCAAGCAGCCAATTTTCTGTGTAACTATAATAAATCACAGCGACAGACACACAGGATGGTGCTGTCTTTATATAATTATTCCATAAATTGCCCCATTTTCTCCCTCAGAAAAGCCTCCCAGTCCCTTCTCTTTGCTGGAGCATGTTGTTATCCTGAACACAATATGACAAATGCATTTGAAGAACTTACTTTGTAAGCAAAGGGTAACGAGAGGGAGTCTGCTCCTGTTTCCATCGAGTGGCTGTTTGCTCCAAGGGGATTTGCAAAGCAAGGGAAACAATCTTACAGCTCGGGAAATCGAGCGTGAACTCCAGAACTGAAGGGAAAGCATGGCTGAAAGGCCAATCAACACAGAGCCCAGCTGCCAAGGGAGTGGTGGGCAAGGGCACGGCTGAGCAAGGCCCTGCTCCTCATTTACTCCACTCTTCCTTCCACTGGGCTGTGGCTTGGAGATGCCTCCTGCATTCCCTGGAATTAAGTCCCATGATGAATTTTGAAGTCCCTCACTGTGGTGACGAAGGGAAGCTTTGGCATCCCTAAGTTGTCTCCGTGCAAGTGGCATTTTAGTCACTGCTTCAGACAGTGCAACGTCAGCCCAGCAAAGTCACCTTGATGAGCAGCGCCTTCTAAACCATCCCAGCTCCTTCCTGCTCAGATTTGCTTCAGAGAAGCTTTTAGTTCTCTTCTTATTCCTTTTGCATCCTCATTCCCTGGCTACCTGCAGTTCCAGGCTGCTTAGCTGGAAGGTACAGACCAGGGCAGGTTCTGCCTGCAAGAAGTCAGATAAACTGTTCTCCTGTGGGCACTCACAGGTTTAAAACCCCCACAATTTGTGTACAGCGGGACTTTGGGGACCTCTTGACTTGGCTAGTGTTTTGATAACTGTATTTGTGTTGTTTCTCTTTCCTCCTGCCCTGTAGAATATACTTTTTAAAAATACAGCAAGTGGGAAGGGAAAAAAAAAATAAGACCTTTTTCAACGAGGATATAAAACTTCCATCAAATCAGCTGTGTCACTAGAGACCCAAAGCTAATAAGTTGATCTTACAGAAGTATAATAAACTCATTTATTAGGTTTTTATTTTAGGAGTTGGTGGTATTAATTAGATTGATATGGCCCATAAATCACTTGATTTGGCTGAGTCCTCAGATACTTGTAATTTAAATTAATACAAGTGCAGTTTAATTAATCTGATTAAATCCTGGGACAAGCAAGGCAGTTTTTGCAGTGTCCAGGAGTACATCACAAGGAGAAAGGAGTATTTTAAATGTAAAGCAGCTTCTTCACTGCAGGGTCAGTTTTGTTCAGCTGGTGAACCAGGGGACAAGAATGAAACTACAGAAGATGCAACCCAAAAACCAGACACTCTGGTTTTGCCCTGAGACCTGGAAGCTGGGAAGAGTTCATTGCTGTTTCTGGACCAGGCAAGGGGCTGACCTTCACAAATTCATGGCAACTGCTCTGGTTCTGGGGAGTCCTGATATTTTTTCATCCTTTGGCAGCAATAAATGAATTCTCAGAAGGTGAGTTTAAGGCATTGGTGAGCATAAGCCACAGGTTGATGTCTGTTGTCGTCACAATCCTGATTTTTTTTTTCTCCCTTCAGTACTACTGAGAAGAGATAACATTTCTTTCGAGGAGGGAATAATCCATTAATTGGTTCTTCCTTGCTCAAGGGACCTTTCCAGACACGAGCTGCTGCGTTCCCCAGGCCACGAGCAGACCCAGATGGGAACAGAGCAGGCAGAGATGGAGATGAGCTGCTGTGTCCCACCTGAGACTTACCTGCTCTGCACTCCCTTCCCATCCTGACTATTCCTCCTCGGGGATGTTTCTGGGTAGTAGATGATGATTTTATTGCCTGTAGAGAGGATGGGAGGCACCCTCCTGTGGGACACATTTTGCAGGGTACTCCCATAGCTCCCCTATGGACAGGAATGGAATTCAGACCCTGTGGTCCACCCTAGCCTTGGTTTCTCTGTTGTCCACAAGCTGTCCATGTGGGATGGAGGTGCAAGTTTGGTATGTACAGCAGCTCCCCAGAATCTGGATGAAAACCCAAGGCTCCCATGCCTCTATGTTTAGCAGCAAAGCACCAGCCCAGGGCTCATGCAGCCGCAGGTTGTTTCCGTTAGAGTGTGGACGCCATAAAATATGTTTTCTTTAAAAGCAGAAGATAATGCCGTTACAGCAGTTGGATTAATCTAATATTCTCCTTCATCTTCAAAAGAGAATTGCCTAAATAGCCAGAGAGAGGCACATTTTATGAGTCCTTCTTAAGGGCTATCAATCAAACCTTCTAAGAAAGGCACTGATGCCCTTTTGCTCACAAGAGGGAAATTGGATTCCCCACGGCTTTGCTTTTAGTCTGCTGTAGCCTTGCCGTGTAATCGCTGCATCGCAAAGGGTCTGGCCATCATTTTCTTCTACTGGTCTGAAGAAAAAGCCCACATGGAGGAAACCTGTAAGAAGAGAGGGAAAACAGCCCAATTAAAGGCAATGATCTCTTAGCTCTCTGCCCTCTCTCCTGTCTGGATGAAGCAGATGTAAAACAATAGCTTTATTTGTGCAAGTTTTAATTGGGTAGTTCAAAGGAAGCAGCGGAGGTTCTTTTGATCTCTTGGTGTGTTTGAATGCCATGTTGCAACGGTGCCTGTTGGCCACGGCAGTGACCTCTTGTGTTAATTAGTGTTTATCTGAAATCGAATTAGCTCACAATTGGGAGAAAGCAGAGCGAAAAGCAGGGGATAAGCACAGATTTGTGCCATTCTCAGTTAGAGGTAAAAGCAGGTCTGCTGAAGTTGACGTTAAAATAACTCAGAGAATATTATATTTTTGCTTTGTTTTTCTAACACTCTTGGTCAGATGGTCCCATTTCTCTTCCTAATACCCTGTGCTGCCTTCATCTTTGCTGAGTCTGCTGGTCCGCGCCGCTCATTGGAACTTAAACCATAAACCAACACCGAACAATGATGCATTATTTATAGGAGACCAAAGGCTGTGAGGTTGACAATAGTGCAAAGCTTCTCTTTCTTGTGGTCAGTAATCCATAAATAAATACATCATCTATTTAGGTTTGCAGAACTGTCTGATGGATGGGAATAGCCTGCATTATACAACAAGGGCACCAAGGACCTTGTGAAAGCCACCACCTGCTTTTGGGGCAGATTGGCCATTTCTGAGTAAACTCTTGATGCAGACAGGGGCTGTGAGAGCTGCCAAGTCTCCTTTCTGGCGCTCATCTGGGGAAATCTCTGGAAGGTAAAAGGAAATAGGGTTTAGAAATGCATAAAAGCATCAAGTTCTCTGTGTGAAATATTAGCAAGGTCAGAATTTTATAGCTAGAAGCATCTCACTGGACAGGTATACAGTCCCAATTTCTGAGCAGAGAATAGCCAGGGTTGTGGAAATCAAACATCTGTCCAAACATCCGTGAACATCTGCAGGTCTTCAGCATGTTGGACTGGCTGAAATCCCATCCTCAGATCAGATCCAGATCTCAAGGGCTTTCAAGTGCATAAATTGTTTTATTTCAACCTTGCTTTTCACTTCTAAGCTGGTTTCAAGTGTCACCAGGCTGGACTTTCCTGCTTGCCCCTGTAATGAGCTCATCGGGGGGGGGTCAAGGCACCCTGAAAATGCAGCTGTGGCACTTACTCTGTGTCCTTGGGTGTACAGCACTATATTTTCTGGGATTAGCCACAAGAGGGTGGCATGAGGATGTGCACCAGGCAGCCTCCCTGCTTCCCTGCATGGCATTTTATAGTCAGCTCTGTAGATCCAATAAAACTTCAGAGCAGATCCTTGTTTTTGGCACATGAGCACATTTCCCACTACAAATGAGCCTGCCGGGTGTTTCTGACAGCAGCCCTAACTGAGAGTATTCCTTGATGTTACACGTGTTCTTTATGCCTAAACCCAGCCTCAGTTAGTGGGTACCATAGCAATGCATAAAATTTAGACTATTTAGGATCAAAACTTTTATTGGTCCTTGGTAACTGCTCTAGGGAGAAGTCCACAGGTCTTATTTATGAGCCAATTTTATTTTTCCTAGTCCTGGATGTTTACAAGACAGTGATGTTCCACACAGCTGCTTTACAGTACATTGGGACAGTTCTGGTAGGTTTTTATTTGGTTGTAGCTGACAGTGAATGAGCTGGTTAACAAATACATACAAAAAAGTCTGTGACAGCAAAGGAGAATAACTGAAACAAAACAGATTCATTTCATCTAAAATCTCAGCCTGGATTGTCATGGTATGTTTGTTTCCTGAATCGGACTGTCAGCAACCCAACCCAGGTCACTTGTCTTGAATGATCACAGAATCCTAGAATGGTTTGGGCTGGAAACTACCTTAAACATCATCTGATTGCAACCCCTGCAATGGGCAGGAACACCTTCCACTAGACCAGGCTGCTCAAATCTCCATCCACCACCCTGGTCTTGGGCACTTCCAGTGATGGGGCAGCCACAGCTTCTCTATGTCAGGGCCTCACCACCCTCACAGAGATTTTTCTCCAAATATCTAATCTAAATCTACTCTCTTTTAGTGTGAAACCATTCTCCCTTGTCCTGTCACTCCATGCTCTTGTTAAAAGTCCTTCTCCCCTTTCCTTTTGGCTCCCTTCAGCATCAGTCAATGTGTCTGTGTGCAAGGTAAATTCACATTTGATTTAGCAAAGCCTCACCCGGGTGATAAGTCCCAGGAAGAGCAAGAAACAGGGCACCAGGACATCCAGGCAGCAGTAAAAATCAAAGAGACATGAAAACACACTCCATGTCTGATGTGCAAAGCTTTGTAAATGCTGGAGGTTTTGTACTTTATTTTAACATGATATTTTTCCATGTGCAGGCAGAGGGATGATGTTGGTACTTAGAATCCACCCTACTCTCATTCCTGCTCCATAGTCTGGCACCATCTACATCATAACTCCTGTCTTGGATCCATGCAGGTTTTTTCAGGGTGTGAGTCCTTCCTCACCCGTGGCTCTGACTGTAGTACCAGGGCCCTTGCATGCAGAAATCCCTTTTGCCATGAACACATTTTAAATACAAGCTTCCGAATCTCATTACGTGCTGCCTTTTCCATTCATTTTCCTCCTAACAATGCACCTGCCAATATCTGCCCCTGAGCTCCATTTTAAGCAGCGTTTTCCATAGTTAATGTCACACTCTTGCTCCCAATCTATCTTTGGCAACTGCTGACTGCCTGCAGCAGGACCAGAGGAAGAAGGAAAGCCCTCCCTGGGTATAACAATAACACAACACCCATTCCTGGAAGAATGATGAGATAGGCTGTGTAATAAATATTTATAAGTGCAAGCGTAATGAAATGGATGTGTAGGATGCTGAGTCTCCCTTAGGGTTTGGTCATCACATGTTTTTTTCCTCTTTTCTTTCTTCCCTGTGATACAGAATTGTCCTGGTGTCCCTGGGTTGTTGAGCAAATTGCTCATTGTGTTGCTCACTTACACAATGCATGTTATTATGTGCAACCAGCTGCTCCTGTTTGGCATTGCTTACGCATACGGAACAGGAGGCTACCCTCGCTTTCCTCGTCTGGAAGTCAACGTTCCCTCCAGCATCGAAGTTGCTGCCAGACCAGAAGAAGTCTGGAAACAAAGTGAGTCCTGGTGGTTAAGATCCCCAAGAGACTCCTTTCCTGGGAAGACCAAGGATGAAGTCTTACAATGAGTTTGAGCTGATCCAGCTTTGTACTGCTGTTGAAAACTTCCTCATGTCTCTTTCTATTCCCATTGCTTTCCTTGTGCTGGCACTAACTCCTGAGCGATTGCACAGCGAGCTGGAGCAGGGCCCTGATTTTGTTGTTAATGTTGTCGCCAATTAAGTTTTCAGCACCATCCTTTCCTCTGTCCAGCTCCAGGCTCATTCAAGCACTAATGCCGTCACAAAGGAAAGAGCAGCCAACTCTTCTGGTAATTAGAGCTGCTTAAATCCGTCATAAAATGTCAACCTCAGCACTGCAGACACGTCTGAAGTCAGGGATGGTCAGAAAACAGAGCAAGGCTGTATTTTAAACTGCAAAGTTTAATCCTGTTTGGGAGGAAAAGGACCTAAGCTGTGAATCTTTTTGCTCTTCACTGCTTTCTATCTGAAATGGCTTTCCCCTGTTCTGGGTCTTTTTTGGAGCAGGTGTTTTTCTTTACCTGCATTTGTTTAGTAACTTGTACAATTAGATCCTGGTAGTCTGAATCCCACAGCTGCCAGCTGGAAGGACATGGGCTGCTTCATATGGGTTTGGATTCAGAGACTGGAGTTCTGATTCAGAACCCTCTGTAATGTGTTGCTGTGCCCCAAGGTCTCTTGCACTACTACAGCCTTTCAGAAGCATGGATCCCCCTTGGCTACAGGCGGCCTGCATGGGGAAAACCCTAAAAAATGAGGCTTTTGACTCTTAAAATGGGACTTTACAACCTAAAAATATGTCTTTGGATGTTCAAAATTACTGCTGAGCTAGATAAATTTATAGCACCTTATGCTGGATTTCCACAGCGGGCTGCTATTCCTGGGATCTTATTCAAACCAAGATATGGGTACAATACACTGTACACACACCTGACTCACCAAAAAAGTTTTGTAGCACAGAAATAATGCCTCTCAAAGGGGGAACAAAAAGCGGCACTACAAACACCTGCTACTTACTGCTGCTCCTCCTGTCACACTTTCTTCACTCAAAGTATCAGAAGTTTGCAGCTATTGAAAGGCAGAAATGCCTCACCGACAGGAACGGGAACACTGGAGTGTCTACAGCACATAAATGAGGGATTTGCTGCCCTAAGTATTAGGCCAGAAGTGCCATTGTCTGGGAAGGAATGTCCCTTCTGTTGGCATGCTGCTGTCACTTTGTTCTTTATGGACTGACAGCCAGGGAGTATTCTGATCCTTCCCAAATCTACTAAGTGGCCCTTTAGCCAGGTTCTCCCTCTGTAAGTGCCACAGGGAATCATTTCACCACTGTGAGCAGACGCTGGGATTTGGCGTTGCTCCTGCAGGGCACAGGTGCTGTCAGTGTGAAGGAGCTGGTGCTCCGGGTGACGTTTCTGCCGCTTTCTCAGCTCGGGGGCTGTTTGCCAAATCGCTGGTTTTTTCTGTTCCCCAGGGACAGATATTCAAGGAATATATGTTGCAAGCTTGGGTTTGTTGAAATACTGGCTTCATTCCTATTTCCACAGATATGCAGGAAGACAAAGAGGTGCTACAGAGGAATCACATAACACTAAGCTCAGGTTGAAAGCTAAAACAGGGGTTATACCTGAGTTTTTCAAAGCCTGGTCTAACTCTGGCCTGCTGACATGGAGGTCGGTCAATGCCTTAACTCAGGCAGGTGCTCTTAGCCAGAATGTGCAGTGTTTTGTAGGCCACTAGCAATTTTCCATATTTATATTAATGCCAGACTTGCCTGACTGCAAGGTAAAGTGTTTTCTTGCTTAAAGGGAGGGAGAAATGTCTGTGATTTGAAGAAAAACAGGCAGGGGTGTGTCTGAAAGAAACCACTGGCAGACACAAGTAGATATTCCTTTACAGCCTAGTTAAAGCAATTTGACAGCACCCTTAAAATCACCTCACACATAAAGGAGCAGGTAGGAAGGACTCAGAGAGAAAGAAGAGTCTGTGGATGTTGTTAATCTTTACCTCCATGCTGGACTGGTGCAGAAGGGGACATGGATATTACTACCCACTTTCTTTCCATAGGGAGGTGAGATGGTGCAGGAATGGGGCCAGTGGAATTCTGTGGCCTTATTATGCAGTCCTTCCCAGCAAGGTGCACAGTGAGTGCCCACCTGATGCTGGGCAAAGCCCCCCTGCACATCTCCTCAGAGTAGGGGGCTGCTGCCTCCCAGGGCTTGTCTGTACTGGCAGTGCCAAGTATGAACTTAGAGTTGCATAACTCATATTCATGGGAAACCTGCTTCCCACTACACAGCCTTTCTGGTTTCATTTAAGTTTTTATAGTTCATTATACAAGCTAATAAATAGGAGGGTCTGGATTTAAAAAGTTTCTTTTTTCATATTTTGCATAGCTGAAGCCCCCTCTGCATTCCACACTGCAGTGATAAAATACGCCTGTGTGCTGGGCAGCTTCGTATCCTTTTGGAGGACAAAGGAGACCCACTCTGGATGTGGCTGCCCATGTGTTTGGTACCACTGCCGAAAGAAGGACTTGGTGTCACTTCCCTCAGGACTGAACCTGCACCTGTGGCTTTACACACTCACATGTGGTGCTGGCTTTGTCTGGGACCCAGCCAAGCCAAACTGGGAGACAGCAACTTTGGATTCCATCTCTCATTCTCCTTGCCTCATTTCCACTGCTTGGCTCACCTGGTGGACAGGTCCTGCCTCTCTCCTCAGCGATGGGGTGCAGTCATGCCACACCATGTATTCTTTTTTGCTTTATTTTTGCAGACAGCTAAGAAGCACAGCCTAGGCTTTGACGACCAATGAATGATACACACCTGAAGGAGTTGCGCCTCAAAACTGAACCGCAACAAAGCCATGGCGATGCGGTCACTGGTGTCCGTTTCCCTCCGCTGCCCAGCCGGGCTCGGCGCGGTGAGCTCCGGCAGCCCCGACGGGCACCGGGGCCGGGGAGGCGTCCCCAGCAGCACCGTGAGGGGAGCGCGGCGGCGGGAGCTGCGCGATGCCCCCCGCGCTCACCCGTGACAAATCCGCAAAAAAAACCCTAAAGAAGTGGGGGGTGGAATTTTAATTTAAAAAGCCACATAAAATGTTACAAATGTCTGT